GTAAACGAAAGTTTGATGAAGATGATCAGATTGAAAATAATGGTATGATATGATTAAATTATGATAATTCAAAGAAAATTTTAATAATTAAATACTTTATTTTTATAGATAAACGTAATAAAACAACTAATTTATCGGATTATCAAACAAAAGAATTGGAATTTGATATTTAATATCGTTAATAATGATATTATTGTTCTGATCCCGTAGCAACTAAAAATGTTTACGCATAAATACAAACATTTTTTGTAGAATTTTAAGTTGCAGAGGAGTAAGGGCATGTACGGGACAGCAAAAAAAAGCTACGGAAATTAAAAATGTACAACACTGCCCGAGGTTCTATAATATATTCAGTTTAACAGTTGATGGATTGCTATTGCGCCGCATTGCGGTATTGTTTTCTTTATAAAATATTTATTATATTTATTCCATAAATTTCTTTTCTTAAGATATATTTTAAATTTGAATAAATTTTAACATTTTAGTTAATATTTTCAAAAATAAAATATACATATAATTATTTACCTGTTGATAAAATATCAGAAAAATTAATAGACCGGTCCTTGCGGTCTTGGTATTTCCGGTTCGGACCAGTTCATGATATATTATTATGGCATTCAGCTATATAATAATTTATTGTGAATTAAGTTGCGACATTACTTTTAGGTTTCGGCGGTACAATCGATGGGCTTCGCCTTTTTATCATACCATTTGCTAAAATGAGCTTTTCCCGCAACAATAGTTACGAAATATTAAATTTATAAATGTTAGGCCAGACCGATCCCGACTTATCATTAACTAATTGTTCTCCGTGGTATTATAAATTAATTAATACATAGATACTAACGCTAAGTTATTACAAAACGGTTTTATCAAACAATGCAATAAATCAATTTTTGACATATAGTTCATAATATGATCCGGTTTCAATTATCTGAAGCTTAAGCGCCGACGTTGAGAGTAGGAATGGCTGCACAATACAAAGCAACACTGATTAATTTAACGTCAAGATTACTTCATTTTACTCCATAATTACTCAATAAAACCTTCTGCTTACATTACAAAAATTGTTTATAAATACAACACTATTATTAAAAGGTATTCACATTGCAAAGATTAGATTTAAGAATTAATATATATTATAAAAAATTTCACAGACATTGTGCAAAAATGTTTTATGATATGAACTTTATCTTTCGAACCATTGACAAGAATGTTATATATTTAGTTTACAGAAAGCTAAAATATTTTTGAACATCTTTAAAGTGATCTATGTATATTGAATAAGACGACTCCAATCCTTAAAAACAAAATAAAACATAAAAAATAAATTAAAAATAATATTTAAAATTCATCATTAGCCCGGCGTGTTACAAGATTGAATATTTTATATAGGTGGAACAGGTATTTTTTTTAACCGGTTATTAACCTGTTAAGGATCTTTAGGTTCCATCTAAAAATTTAAATTCTACTTGACGACTTGAACGAGTATAGTGCCCGAACTTTTTGTCCCAAATTGATATTATTAAATTCGACAAATAAATAGTTATAATTTAATTAAAATTTGGTAAAGTTTCTTGCAATGGCATGACATTGAAAATATTCCTTACTTAAAAAAAGGATTTTTTTTTTTGAAATACTAGTAGCGATTTCTAATTTTTGTAAATCTGGAGTCGTTTACTATTAATATCAATTTGATATCTTTTGCATTACTTTGATGCGGTGGTATCTCATCTCTTGATTCTCAATTCCGGATGCGTGATTCATGGTGAATAAATGCGTGATTAATTCACTTCAAAGATATAATCTAAATGATAAAAAGTGACGTAAGTAAATCACAAGAGCCTCTTACTTCAAATAATTTCGCCATAAATTTTCGTAGTATTATTATATGTCAATAATTATGGAACTTACTTATGTTCATGATATTTCCATAACATATAGTTGGAGATTAATCCTTATTTAATTTTAGTACAATTATTTCGTATAAATTTAGCAAGGTGGATTGTGTAATACTTGTATAGAGAAATCAACATCCTAGGAAAGCAGTATTTCGCGAATATTGAGCGAGCAAGCTTAAGGGTCAGCGTACGGTTCGTATTTGAGAGCACAAGAGGAAAAGTATGTTAATGAGTATAACTTTATTAACCACCGACAAGAAATTTTTACGAATATCTCGTGTTTGTAATAAATTTTAGAAAGAAGTGGTTAAAAATATATCCAAATATTTGGTTTAGACTGAACCTTTCTTTTGATCTTTGAATTATTTTTTATTTTTGTTATATTATCGGTGGCTTTGATTGGATGATCGATTAGCAAAAATCACCAATTTGAAATATCATGAGAATCCAAACTATTAATGCGATTTATCTCTGGAAATGAATTTCTAGAAAAACTAGAGAAGAAGGAATTAGATCTGAGATCTAAGTAAGAATGTTATTGTGCAATCTCTAATAGTCTCGTGGGATATCAGTTGCGCTTAGGAGTCAAATACTGTATCAAGAGAGAAAACTGGTCCATAGGAATGACACGAGAGGACTATTGTCGAGAATTACAGGAACTACACAAAATCACAATAAAAAAGAATAGGTGGTGCTTACCAAACAGGTTAAGTTTAAAATCTAAAGCAAGGTAGTAAGTATATTGCTAATTATAATAACCCTGTGCCATTTTGAAGAAAATTAGCATTTAAATTGGCATAATTTTTTTGCTTGATAGTATAAGGTACAAGAATTCAAAAACTGTTCGTTTCTTCGTTCTTTTATAATGGATTATTAGTATACATGATAAGGTAAATTTAGAAATTGCAAATATATTGTCAAAATTGTTAATATAAAAATGAGATTTTTAAGGTAGTGAAGCATGATAATTTTTTTATGGTGAACAATGATTCGGATGAAACTAGTTTGTCTCCGAAATTTTATGATGACGAAACATTTTCCGTTTTTTATATACATATACTTTACTGTATATTCTTTTATTACTAATGAGCGACGCAACAAAAATCTTACCCATAATTTATTAAGATAAGTGTGGCATTTTCGGTAGACATGACTGCTTTACACCCCTACTTTTTTTGTAATTAAGATATGCAAAAATGACCGATATTGCCAGTCTTTAACTTCGACGTTCTAGATGACCGAATAATATATTTCGTGATTGAGATACTAGTGTTCCATAAGAGGCGAATCGGGTCGGGTTTAGAACATATTCGAACTGAACCCGTCAATACTTAAATACGACTCGACCCGATTATTGTTAAACTCGGAATCGGCTCGAATTATAAAATATTTTATTTATACGCAGATAATGATAACAAGTAAGATAAATAATAGTAAACTTGAATTTAAAATTTGTTTATTGTCTTCGTTTGAGCATTAACCCATTCGTCAAAAATTTGTCGTATTTGGATCATTAATCTTGCGGAATATCCTCTAAACTTTTTTAAAAAACTGAAATGAAAAATTAATAACATATATTTATTCAACTTTTTTGAAAGAATAATTAAGAAATCTAATATATGAACATACAATTTAAAACTTATCAAGATGGAAGTTATCTTCTTCAAAAGTTTATGCTATAAACGTGATGTAAAAAAGAACTTTAAATTATTTTAGATCATCTGTATCAAGCAAACGACATGACCCTGACTCAAACTGGGACTCGTGTCATAAAATGATAATCCTGACTCGAATTAAACATTCGAGTCGGTCAAATGACCGGTCGGGGTACCCAGAGAAAAAAGGTCGCATATGATAAAGAAGCGGTTGTCACCTGAATATTATCATAAATGTCGAAATCTCGTGATAACCCAAAGTGAAGAAAAAATAGTCATGCTGATAGATAGATATTCTAAATACTTTCTTGAACTTTCTGAGCATGCATGACGTTCATTTTTATATTTATCGGCCATATTTGACTGTAATATGTATTTTACAAATGTTATTTGACATCCTAATAAGCCAATGATGCATTATGCGTGATTTTACCTGCCTAAAAATATTTTTTCGTGTGGTGTCGGTAGGGACGGGGACAGTTCTCTCGGTTCCATTTCGGGTTCTGCTTCGACCCTCCTAAAGTAAATTAAAACATAAAGCGTTAAATTTAATTTATTAAAAATTGGTTAAAATGGTTTGTAACTCAGAATATGCTGAATTTAGAATCGGGTTCCAGAACCGACTCTGGGCCATCCCTAGGTGTGGGATCGTATGTGTATTTCAATAATTTCTCGGTCCATATTTTTCAGCCTTTTATAGCATTCGTATAACAAAGATAATAGTATGAAAGTAAAATTTCATTTTCACTGTAGGTTTTACTATCAAAATTTTCTATTGTGATTTAAGGAATAATGAGACCAAATCTCGAATTGTGAACTGCTAATATCAGGTGAGGTTGGTTGATTAGTCATTTTTTATCCTCCTTACGTAAAAAGTAATTAAACTTACTTACCTTTACATCATCACTAAAGAGATAACGAAAAATAATATATGTTGGGTAATACAGATATCGGCGCCGATTTCGCGAAAATTCTTAATGTTTGGCGCAATATTGTAACTAAAAAGCCGATAAAAACAATTACATGGTTCACTTGGACACGCAAGATCATTTTGAAAAATAAGTTGTTTCAACCATAAGCGAATTGCTCTCGTACTGCATGTATAAATTCGCGTCATCTAAAAGTCTTTGTGGCCACTCAGTGGGCATCAGCCATAATACTTTTCCAGTGTTGTTGGAATAGAACATCTCTTCCTATGTTCTCTTTTTTCACTAACTTTATCCGGTCGACGTAAAGCCCATAATAATGCGGGTAAGCCAAATCTCTCTGTCAACTGTTTTGAAACTGAAATTAAGTAAATTAACAAATGAATTAAATGATCAAAATTTCTATATCCATGATGAGACTTTTGATAATTGTGAGAGAGAAAAGTACCCAATATATTATTTAGTTATCATAATACTTTTAATCTTTACAATATTTCTTTTGATAAGTTACTGTAAGTTTATTAAAATGATAATTTAATCTAGAATATACGTTTTACATTAACATATATATGAAATTTTTGCGTCTTTTGCGTTGCACGAATCCGGTGGCTGGCTCTAACCCAACTCATTGAAAATTAAATTATAATTGTGAGTTACGATAATTTCAACATATTACATACCCAAGGAAGTATTTATGTTCATTGAAACAATCAAATTGATTGTATAATTTCAAAAAAAATAAAATAAAATAAAAAAATTATTTTACCGGGCTTTCCGGTAAAAAAAAAACACATAATATCGCAGACCCATCATAGATACATTCGTGTAATTAGGTATATGAAAGTTTGCATATTATATACTATGTCTCGCATTCTTAATTCGTTTAAGATATTGGGTGAAAGGTTAGAATCAAATTATTAAAACACCGTTTTTAAAATTAAATTTTATCAATTTTATTAAAATTATTCGAGATAACAAAAATTTGTTTAAGCTGACTTAACCATTATACAACAAGTGAAAATAATTTTTGTATTCAAAAGGTGGTGGTTAAAGAATATTAATTTTACCACCAATCCTTACTACCGCTACAACGCTCATCAGTAATATCAGCCCAAGTATTAACTCAATTGAACAAGGTCAAAGGCATAAGCCGGCTTGGCTTGGCGCCACTTTTTTCCGGCTCGGCTCGGCTCGGGAAATCAATCGAAAAGCCAAGCCAAGCCAAGCCGGCTTGCAAGCTTAATATTTCGAAACGAAATTTCGTCGAGTAAACCGTTTCTCATTAAGAAAAACGTTCTCGGAACGATTCCTTTCGAGAGAAATGTTTCCGGAACGATTTCCTTTAAGGATTTCGCTTCCGGAGGGATTTCCTTGAAGGGAATCGTCTCTGTGGCTTTTCCTTTGGAGGAATAGCATCCGGAATCGAAATCTTTATAGAAATCGCTACGGAAGCGAAATCATTAAAGGAAATCGCTCCGGAAGCGAATTCCTTTAAAGAAATTCGGTCCCGGGTGCGTTTTTCTTTAAGTAAACGCCATCGGAGCATCTTTTCTTCAAAGAAAAACCTCCTTTGGGTTTATTTACTTCAAAGAAGAAAATGCAAGCCAACGAGTCGAGCTGCGGCACGAGCCAAGCCACAGCAGAAGCCGGCTTGTCTGGCTCGCGGCTCGTTTTATAGTGGCTCGAGCCGAGCCTAGACGAGCTGGCTCGTTTGGCTTGCAAGCGGTTCTGCTTATTGCGGAGCTCTAATTGGAATGAACAAGTAACAAAATGATATGGTTACCCACCATGATCAGCTCTGCTGTTTTGTCTTTGACTTCATCCAATACATGCTAAATATTAAAAATCTCATGGCACTCTTCAATGATATGGCCTTTGATGAGAATAAAATATTCTTGACTTCATCTTCTGAATGCAATGAAAAAGAGCTGATTAAAGTTGTTAAAGCAGGTGAAACAAGTAGATTTAACATGTTAATAAAGGTTAAAAGAATTGATTTTAACTCCGGCCAAAATTGCAAATTTCAGATTTTTATGATTACAAAATTAATGCTATATATGTTTAAAGAATTAGTTTATAACTTCTATTTAAAATATTAAATGATTTATAAAATAGTATGAAAAGTATGTTTTTCTTTTTTTTTTTGATATTTTCTCTTTACTTTTATCTATATTAAAGATTTCTTTATTTTAAATAATTTAAAAATAAATTTAAATTAAAGTTACGCTTAATGCAATGACAGATTATTTGATGATTTGTTTATCCTGCCTAATTAATTGTAATATTAAAAATAAAGGGTTTTTCTTTAAATTAATAATTTAATGATTAGCTTAATAATTATAAATATCATTCTAAAAAAAAATTACAGTATATTAGTAATTTTTAAAATAATAAATAATTATAAGTATAAAATCAAATAAAAACCTTATAAATTAAAAAAATCATTATTTGAAATAACTTTTAAATATTTGTATAATTAACATATAATAGTTTAAGTATTTTATTGATTATTTATTTAATTTTAAAGAAGTTGGATTAGAAATAACCATTTTTTTGAAATTATTTCTATTATTTAAATTAAAATTTGAATTTAATATAAAATTAGTAAAAATATATTAAAAGTAATAATTTGCTTTAATCCTAAATTAACCAAAAAAAATTATTATAAAGAATAAAAAACTTTTAAAGTTTTATAACTTTATTTTATCTTTTTATGATCATTAGGTATTAAAATATTATAATTTTTCTACAATTAATTTTATATTTACGCTTTAAAAAATTAAAAAAATAATTTAATAAATTTGAATTAATTTTATAAAATGGATTTTAAAAAATATAATTATACTAGATAACAGGGACTATTTATAAATCTAAAGCATTAACATATAGAGAGTTGCCAAAAGTCTCTAAACACCATTTTTTAAGTGCGATTTCATACTGGTAATATCATGTGACTTAATAATACTGCGGTCATATGATATATTGGATTTTATTTATATGAATCAAACTTAATAAATGCATATTTTATTTGTTTATTTTGACTTTAACTCAAATAAACTTCATCCTTCAAAAACTATGAAAATGATTAAAGAGTTAACAAAAGAATAACGCAGAATGATATTTTATTACCATTGACATGATAACAGTTATCGAACTATTATTACAACTATTATATATGAAGTATCAATAGTATTTGATACTTTAAAAAGAATGAATAATACTAGAATCACTAATTTAAGGCTTTATTCTGGTCAACCACTCCTTATTACAAAATTTTTATACATACTATCAAAAATTTAATCGATAATATGCTATAGTGAATCTGAGCTATAATTAAAGTAAAAGAAGGCCCAACTAAGTACTAGTTACTTAGTACAAAATGTAGAGCAAATCTTATTTAAATAAAAATATTATTAAACTTTTTTTGATTAAACTTTAAAATTTTGTTTCATATTGATCCAAAAAGTATTCAGAGACTTTTAATGACCCTCTGTATTTTAAATTCATATAATAAAATAATTTGTAATAAATTAATAGTAAACAAATATATTATAAAAGATAAAATTTTATATAAAAATAATTAATAAATTAAAAGTCAACTTTATTACCATATAGATCATTAAAAAGATCACTTTATTCATTTTATTATTGTCAATTATCATGTAAATTTCTAAATGTTAATTTTATTATCCTTGATAATCATATAAATTATAGATATCTATTCAGTTACTTGCAGATCTAGCAATTTATTAATATGATAACTTTATTGCCTAATAAAATAATAACTTTATTTTCTTAAATATATTTAGTTTAGTTTATTTTATTAATTATTCAATATGTATAAATATCTTTGTATTTTTATTAGATCTTATTAAAAGTAAACTGAGAAATATTAATTATTTAGATATTGAATTTATATATTATATTAATAAAGAAGTATAATTAACTAAGTATAAACTTATTCTTTGCAACCTTTTGAAATTATTATAATTTAATGATAAATCATTGCATTTATTTGCAATTCCTTTTAATTAATTATCAATAAACTTATTATATAATATTATATTGATTCACTGTATTAACTTGAAGTCTCTAAAGCGTAATCTCTAAAATATCTTTATATTATCTTTATATTTATTTTGTGTTTAATTTACATATTTTTACATTGAGAATAATCTTTAATATTATTATAAAATCTTACCTGTGATTCTTTAATAATTGGCTTAGTTTTAATTACTCTTTGTAATTTTAATTAAAATTATAAAACTATTATAATAGCATATTAATAAATATCAACTCAAATAAAGAGTAAAAAAACAAACAAATATCTTGTGCTATTATATTTAAATTGTAAATACTGAGAGGTGACAAAAATATTATACAATCAAAAATAAGATATTAAATAAAATTTTCATTAAAAACTGAACTATATTTTATTAAAATTATTTTGGATATCTATTATATTAATAAAATATTTTTATTATTTGTTTAATTTAATATATTACAATTCTTAAAATCAAATTTTAAAAAATCTTTATTTTTTAATATTGCATATTATATTTTTATTAAAGGCTAAAATACCATTATTAAAGCAAAAAAAATTAGGTTCAGTAACTCAAAAATCATAAATTATATAAGATATTATTGACTGACTCTATTTGAATATTTACAGCTTATTAATTAGTAAAAATATATAAAAAGCTAAAAGCTGATCCTTTAATGAAAATATATAAAGTGTAAAGAATTGAAAAGTAAAGATTTTTTAAAATTAGATCTTATACTTTGTATTATTTTAAACTAAACAATAAATAAAATGTTTCAGCTAATATATTATTAAAAATAATATAGCTCAATTATTTATTAAAAATTTACAAATTATCTAATTCTTGACTGTGCAATACTTTTATTACTCCTAGTATTTTTACACTATATTTTAGATTAATAATAGATAATTGTAAATTATTTTTATAGAAATAATTATTATAAAAAATAATAATTACTAAAATTATATTAAATATTAAAAAATTATTTTTAAAAAATAATTGAATAAAAAATATTAACTAATTTAAAAAAAAAAAACATAAGAAAAAATAACTAACTAAAAAGATAATTAATAAGTAAAACTAATTAACTAAGAAAATAAATAATATAAATACTAATTTTTAATAGATAAAATAATTAAAAATCTGATTGTTAAAAATTAATTACTACTAAAGTTTAAGATAAAAATTTATTTTTTTTTTTAAATTAAAGATTATGAT